AATAGGAGCTGGCTCCTGTTTCTCAATGCGGGCCCTTCTGACAAATCTGCCCTTCTCTCGGCTCTTGAAGATCTCCTTATGGGTCTTTTTTCCCGCGGATTCCAAAACGCCTGGCTGGCCCTTTCATCTCGGGATAAGTCTGTGCTTGTCACCCCTCATCCTCTTCCTTATTTTCCCCCAACCTCTTTCTCTCCCAGCATGGGATGTTAATCAGTTCCAATCCAGCCTGCCTGAAAGATTTTTCATCCAGAGGATCTTGACTGGTGGATCTGTGGGAAGGGGGGGTGTCCCATTTTTGACAGGAAGCAGGGGGGAAATAGGGCATTCTAACGACGTGCCAGACCTCCCTTAAGGACCACAAATTTTGGCTGATGCTGTCATCCCATACACACTTACCTGCGAGTAAGTCCCTTTGAACACAGCGGGGATGAGCTCTGAGAAGCATTGTAAAGGGTCTGCCGCTTGGACAGCAGCTTGCCTTGAATTCAGGTCTTAATGAGAGACATGGGTTGGTCATGATGAACACTTCCTGGACCCCGGCAATCGGCAATAATACTGTAGCTGGTTCATGTATCTACGTCGCCTTATCCCTCCTCTGAAGGTTTTGCGTTTCAGATTAGGAAATGAAAGGCTGTTTACTGATAGATAGATAGATAGATAGATAGATAGATAGATGTAGCTAGTGCCACCATCTCTGCCAGCAAAGTCATCTCCCGGCTCAAGATTTGGGGTATTGACTGTTTCTTGGGTTTAAAAAAATGACGGGAATGTGTATATGAATTGTAAATAGAATTCTCAGCGAAGTTCTGTTTGCTTAGGTGTAGTGCCACCATCTCTGCCAGCAAAGTCATCTCCCGGCTCAAGATTTGGGGTATTGACTGTTTCTTGGGTTTAAAAAAATGACGGGAATGTGTATATGAATTGTAAATAGAATTCTCAGCGAAGTTCTGTTTGCTTAGGTGTAATTTCTCTTTCTGAATTTGATTGACCTGATTTAGAAAGTGAGAAAATTAATCCCTGTTGTAGAAGAAATATACTATATAAAGCTGAAATGCCAGAACACTTAATCCAAAACACGTATTTTAAAGGGAATAAGTAGTGGGACTGAGCGAGTGAATGAAAGCAGCTTCAATTCATACTTTCTGTGACACCACTCCACTTCAAAATAACCTCTCCCAGTCTCAGCAGATATCCAGAAACAGATGTATTCTGCAGTTCAGAAGTCTGGCAAGTCTTTTGAGCAATAAAGAAATCCATCCATCCATGCATACATAAAATCCCACCTTGTTTGACTAGTGGCATCCAGCAGTATCAGGATGCCGGATAGTACCTTTTTGACTATTCAAAATATCTTGAAAATAATGTTTAGACTCCAGGAGAGTATTAACGGTAGCATTTTTAAAAAATCAATTAACTTTTTTTGAAGCGGTAGATGCTGCTGTCTTCTAGAAAATTAAGATAGCATGTGGTCTAGCACTTCAACCCCTTTGATTTGCATTCATTTTTACTTTATCGGATTATGAAACTGAATTCTTCGGAGAAAGAGATAGCAAGAGACAGAGGCATTAATCACTTCCAGTGTGCTTGTAAGCAAATGCTTGAATTTAAAACCGACTTTCCCGCCTTTAAAGCAAATGCCAGGAACCCATCACACTTAAAATTCGCAGGGGCCTTAATTAACATAGCATAAAGAAAGATACGTTGACTAGCCTGACGGTGAAATGACACCACTGTAATATAATACATCATTTTACCAACAAGATAGGATATTAACTGGGGGCGGGGGGGGCAGGGAAGACTTCTATTATTGTCTCTATCATTTGTACAAGGCCTATGGATTTATGTCGGTTCCAAATGGTAAATCGTTTCCATGCCATATCTAGCCTCCTCTTTTGAATTCTTCTTCTTCTTTCCCCTTGCCATATTATTTTCTTAAACGTATTTATAGTGGGTTCATATATGAGCCTATTTTCGAAGATCAAATGATTTTTCGTTTAGTTTCCTAAGTCTCTATAGCAAAAACCTGCCACATTCATCTCCCTCCCAGCCTCACCCCACCCCATCCCTAACCCACTTCACTCCTCCTCTCCCTCCCTCCCTCCTTCCCTCCCTCCCTTCTCCCTGTCTCTGTGAGAGGGAAGAGACAGCCTCTGGCAAAACTGGCAAGATTGAATTGAGAGCAAGAGAGGGCCGGGGAGCTCTCCTTGGTCCTGAAAGCACTGGCGGCAGGACGCATAGAAGGCAACACTAATATCGTTGTCGCCGAAAATCAAAGGTGGAAACAACGAAGTGGGAACGGAGTACTGTTTTCATACTCTCATATTACTCTATTGTTGTTGTTTAAAACAACAACAGCTCCCAAACCTTTTAGTTGCAGACAGCTCTAGTTACAGGCACTGCCCCAATCCAGAAGTAGGTGGTATTTACATGCAGATTTGATCTTATTCTCCTTAAATGACCATCTCCCTTTAAATTCCGATATCAAATAACCCCTTCCTCTTCCCCCAGACTCTGTACATCAAAGGCCTTTAGTTCCTTGGGCAACAAGGTTACCAATTCACACACCTCGGTTTAAGCCTACAGGAGACACAATACACGAGGTGCAAACTACGAGTTGCTAGTTTTTCGCAGTACACGAGAGAGCAGAGGTCCGCGGGGTATTTGCATAACTCCTTCAGGGCTAGCTTTTGATCGCACAATAATTTAGCTCTTGATCCCGGGCAATTCCTGACCGCTTATTAAACACAAAGGGGGTTACAGTAGAGGTTTCTGGGGTGGAGAAAAGAAACACCCGCTGTCTTTTCCAGGGTATTATTCCCGGAGGATCTTTGCTTATCTTAAAGCAGTATCTCCCTTCTAACTTTGTGGCATGTGAAGTTCTCCATCTAAATATCTTGTAAACATTATCTAAGAGAGTCTTCCTGCCCATTTTTACCCAGAAATAAGTCCCCCTTCACCGGCCTTTTTCCCTAGCATTTTCAAAACTCCAGCACCCTAAATCTTAACCTTGCCTCCACTATATGTTTAATTTATTTGATTACGGTGCCACCGCTGATTTATAGTTTTGCACGTCTTTTGAAGCCCCTTAAATGCTACAGGAAATGTGGGGAAGAAAGCCAGCCTGCCTTTTTTCCCCCCACCTCCCCGCCCATCCCCACGCGGGTTTCCGTCTGCCTCTTGATCTTGCTGCTTATGCGCTTGGCACTGCGGTGGCGGCCCTGAGCTCCTGGGATTCAACCTGCTCCCGTCATCATTCCCGGTAGCATTTAAAAGCCTAGTGAAGAAGTCAAGCTAATTGAATAGCTCCCTTCCAAGGTCCCTAAGGAACTTCGCCAATCTCTGTGCCCTGGATTTTACAGTCTATCTATGGCCAGAAAATACTTAAAGCCAATCCTTGGGTTTGGAGGATGTCGTTCACGTTCTGACGCATCAAGTGCATATTATATAAAGCTCAAAAAAACATTTATTCTCCTGACTCGTGTAACTGGAGAATTCTGAGAGCTGTAGTCCAAAAAAGGAGCATCCCCAAATATTATATAAACTGGCAAAATGCACACAGAAAGAGAACCATAAGATCATCCTTGTATGGTTCAGCACATATCAATACACAGAATTATGGACAAGTCAGCTGTCTTTCATTTTGAAAGATTAGGAGTTTTAGATAATTTAGTCAACAAAAATGGTTTCAAAGGGAGAAGAGATTTAGTTCAGGGAATTCCTAATAAAATCAAACAGCAGCCATCATATGTTGATCCACTGATCCTAAACGTGGAGGTGATAGCAAATCCCAATGATTCAGATAAATCCCTTTCTATTAGTGTTTATGACATTACAATATATGCAGATTTTTTTAAAGCATAGTTCATATTCAATAACAGAGAAAGGAAGCTGGAAAATATATTGTTGTCAATAAAATGTTAAAATCTTTTTGTTTTAATGAAAGACCATTCAACAACATTTAAAATAAATCAACACATTACCATAATAAATAAACTTTCTGTTAACAAAAACAGGGAAATCATTGTAATGTACAGAAGTAAGACTTCAAACAGCCTTCGAACATAACAGCAATACAGCAAAATCTGTAAGAATATAACTATATGTGCGTCAGTCTTGGATGAATTATTTACAATACACAGCGGTACAGCAATCTAAGTACCTTTGAAGGGATTTGTTCCAAAAGAATTGCACGGAACAATGTGGATTTATAAACAGTGTTCTCTCTCTCTCTTTCTTTCTCTCTCTTTCTCTCTTGCTCCTTTACCCTTTTTTTCTCTCCCCAGTATAGTTTTTCTACAAACAAAACCGCCAAAAATAATACAAATCTATAGCAATCAAAGGAAATAAGGAGTAACTAGAAGATCTGAACACTGACAAGAAATAGCGCTGAAATCTAGAACAGACAATACTTTGATGAAAGCAACTCTAAAGCAACAACCCCAGCGTACTGTCACCCACGCAAGTGCTTCTTTTCAAGTAGCGCATGGGGTAAGGTAGGGACGAGTCAGGGAATCCCCATTAAATATGTAACGCAGTCAACAAATACCTCCTTGGACAAGTGAGTCAGTCTACACAAACAACGCAGGACAGCCACTATAGAGTGAGAACACCTTACAAGAATACACCCTACAAGAATAGTTGCTGGAGAAACAGCCTAAAGCCAGGTGACAATATACAAATGGGCAAAAGGAATCTTCTTATAACAAGAAAAAGCCTTAAGTTCATAAATTCTACCAATCAACATAAAATAATTAATTTACAGTAGCCATATTTTTTCTTTTACTTTTTGTAAAGACTTTGATGAAAGAGGTGCAATTAATTAGGATGAGCACAAAAAGAAGTTACTAGAGAGATAAATCAATAATTTACAGAGGGTTGTTTGGCAGTAATCTAATAATAGCTCTTAAAAGATCTGTGAACACAGCAAGGTCAGTTCTTTCCCTCAATATTATCTTCAGAGAAGGAAACTGATAATAACCACAGTAAAAATATATATATATTTATAATATGCAGTGTAATTGCAGAAAAACTGCCATCTTATTTTATTTAAAAAATCAAAATACTTTTGAGATGCCTCTCTCATGGTATAACCTTCAACTCTAGATTAAAGTTTCAGTCTTTTTAATCAGTTAATTTTTTTCTGAAAAATAGCTGCAAAGGGTACTTTTACATCTGAACAAAGCTGATGTCTTTAAGAATAAAAACAACTCTTACTTGATAAGGTCTTCGGTCCTTTTATAAAGAGTTCCCATCCTGTATTCACACAGTCAGTCTGTCTCTGATTCCAACTCAAGGCTGAGTTTCTCCTGCCAGTTTCCGAATCTTACCGTTCTGCTTTTCCATTCACAATCTGTGAGTGTGACAGTGAGTGTGGGTGGGTAGCTGAGTCTTACTCTCTTCCTAGACCTTGATCTCGTTCTCTCCCGCAAAGAGGAGTGGAAGTGTCTTCTAGTTTTGTTTTACCTTATTTATTTTTCTCGAAACAGACAAGGTTTCTAAAGACTTTAAATCCCAGCAGAATATTTCATCCGTTTCTGTTTCTGTCTCTGGTTGCAGAACCAGACTCGGACGACGTTCTTCTTGAGGTCCAGTTTCTCCGCAATGGCCGCTATTTTTTCCGAAGAAGGGCGCGGCTGGATGGCGAAATAGGCTTCTAGGGACCTCTTTTCGGGAGCGGCGATGGACGTACGTTTCCTCTTCTTCTCCGCCCCATTGAAGAGCTCCGGCTTGGTGAGCTTCTCCCGATGTGACTTCTCTGCCTCTTCCAGCCAGGCTTGCAAGATGGGTTTGAGGGCTATCATGTTGTTGTGGGACAAGGTAAGCGACTCAAACCTGCAGATGGTGCTCTGGCTGAGGGAACCCACCCCGGGGATCTTGAGGTTGGCCAGAGCCGAGCCCACATCCGCTTGGGTCACCCCCAGCTTGATCCTCCTTTGCTTAAAACGCTCTGCGAAGGCTTCCAGGTCCCGCGGGTCGGCGTCCACGTCGCTCATGCAGCCCATGTGCGAGGGCAGCCCGTGAGCGTGGGCCATGCTAAGAGCCGCTTGATGCATAGGGTTCATGCTGGCCATGTGGGGAGCGTGGCCCGGCGTGGAGACCACCGAGCCGTCGGGGGCTGTCATGGCCCCCAGCGCCAGCCCAGGCGTGATGTGTTCCAAGAGTTCCCCTTCCAGAGCTTGGTGAGGCTGGTGGTGGTGGTGATGGTGGTGGTGGTGGTGGTGGGTGCCGGACAGGGCAGAAGGGTGAGAGATGGGCACCGAGGAGGAGGACGCGGCTGAGGTGCATGGGATGGTGTTCATGGTGTGGTAGGTGGCGTCGGGCTTGAAGGGGCTGTGGTGGGGCGGGTGGTGGTGATGGTGGCTCTTGCCGGGCGAGACGATGTCCACAGCAGCCAGGGCTTCAGCGCGGGCCAGCAGGCTCTCGTCCAGACCGCCGAATATATTGCTCTGCAAGTGCAAATAGAAGGCACACATTACTGCTGCCAAGAGGGAATTCGCCTCCCTTCTCCTCGGGGTGCCATCCGAATCAGACCCAGCCTTGTTCAAGAAGGAGATGGAAAGACAGAGGTTGAGAGAGACAGAGACAGAGACACAGAGAGATGGGAGGGAGAGGGAGAGAGAGAAGGAAGCTACCAAGAAGAAAAGAGATTAAAGGGAGAGAAGAAAGTGAAGCGGGGGGTGGTGGAGGAAGAGAATTACTGAAGACAGAAAAGTGAGGAAGAAGGGGAAAGAAAGAAGTGGGGAGGAAAGAAGCAGGGAATAGAGGGGATCTGAAGAAAAAAGAAAGAAACCAGGCGACGGAGGGGGGAAAATTGTGGGGAAAAACGGGGAGAAGGGGGAGAACCAGAAAGGCAGCTCGAGGGGGAAACAAGGAGACAGGTGGGCAGCGCTCCTCTGCCTCTTTTCTCTCAAGCCCGCCCTAGCCCGGCTCGGCATCAGCATCCCAGGTCATAAAAATTCATGGAAGCCCCCGTGAAAGCCTCTGTTGAGTTTGGGGAGGGCGGGAAGCGCGCCGGGCTGATTTGCTGCCTGGCCATGAAATAAACATGCGACCGGGTGGGAAGTCAAGAGGCTGCCCCTCGCCTCCGCCGTCCCTTCCGTTCCCTTCCCTTCCCGGCTGGCCGGACGCCCGGCTGGCTGCCCACCCTGGAACAGAGCGACCCTCCGACCTACCGGCGGGGTGGGCAGGCAGGCGCGACGCATGGCCTCGGCGGTGCTGTTGCTGCTGGTGCTGCTGGTGCTGCTGCTGCTACTACTACTACTACTACTACTATTACTACTACTACTACTACTACTGTCTCCAGAAAAAGTTACTTCAACCATCCCAAGATTGGTAGCCAA